ACCATTTCAGCCTTGTAAGGCCTCAAATTGACATGTTTATTTGGGGACTCTTGGACACTCAATTGGTAGGGCTTTGAGGGCGTACTGTTATGTTGGTACCAGGAAAATTGGGGTACTTGTGGACCCTCTCGCCCTATATGTATTAAGTACATGGAAACAACCTCCTCCATTTCCTCTATTGGGCTAGGAGACTTGGACTACACCTGGCCTGCCACTTATCATTATCTTATCTAATTAAGCCTACTGACCACTGGGTAGAGAAAGGGTTAGCACAAATTGGTTTTGATGATTTATTCCCCCTTACTTCTAGAGGAAGAGTAGAGACTTTGTTGAGCCCCCTGTTAAATGTGGGTCTATAGGCTTCCATTTGCCCATTATTGGAATGTGGAACCATTTGTTGTTCCCTCTCCAGTTCTGTGCATTCCTGGGAATATTTTTTTCTTACATTGGATCCATTGCGTGGTGCCATTTTAATGTATGCAGTGAGTTTTAGTATCTTAATATGTATTTTGTTTTTCAGTACCACTGCTGTTGGTTAGATACTGTTATTGATTTTCAATGTATGTAGTGAACTTTTTGAATTATGATAACTGAAGTTAGTTTGGAATTGTCTGTAATTGCTTTCCTATGATGTTGATTCTAGCCAGCACTATATGTCGATAGGACTATTGTTGGAATAAAAGTCAAAAATTGAATTGCCGTTAAGTAAAAAACAAAAGTTACCACATATTTATTTATTACATAAATAAAAGAATGAAGACATTGTGTCCCATTACATAAAAAATACTGTTGCCAATCTATTAAAACATATTTCCTTTTTATCTAAACAGACTTTAAAAAAATAATAATAATTGCAGAAAGCAACCAACAAAGGCTTAAAGGACCATTCTAGGCACCCAGACCACTTCAGCTTTATGAAGTGGTCTGGGTGCCAGGTACCTCTAGGATTAACCCTTTTTTTTATAAACATAGCAGTTTCAGAGTCGCATAGCAGGTGTTGAAGTGCAGATCAAAGTGTTTATAAATAATATACTTTTCAATGATTTCCTATAGGCTTCTGTGTTAAGTGACCAAGTTTTACTCAGTTTTATCAGTACAGCAGAAGAGCCTCTCATTACTGTCCGTATGACCGCAACTAGAGGTGGATTTAAACCTGCAATGTAATCTTTGATCTCCCCACCGGCCCGTCATCAAACATCTCCCTCACCGGCCCATTTGCACAGACATGCGGGCGCCGCCTAGGTAGGGAGACAGGAAAGGACTCTCTCTTGCAGCTCCACTTGATTCCTCTTGCGAGATCCAGAGCTTGCCAGGGCAACACCCCCGATCTCGCAAGAGTGAACTCTAGCCTTATAGGCTAGAGTTCTCTCACCAAAAGAACCAGCATTGATGCCAGCATGGTTCCTCCCAGGCTAAAGGTAAGAAGGGAGGGGGGGACATAATGCCTGTTTTTTGTTTGTTTCCTCCCCAACACACAATCCTTCCTAACATATAGACACACACATCACTCTCACACACATCACCCTCACACACAACACTCTCACACACATTACCCTCACACACAACACTCTCTCACACACATTACCCTCACACACACACATCACCCTCACACACAGCACTCTCACACACATCACCCTCACACACACACACAGCTCCCTCTCACACACAGGTTACCCTCACAAACACACACACATTACCCCTCCCCACACACACACACAGCTCTCTCTCTCACACACAGCACCCACACACACACACATCACCCTCACACACACTTTACCCCACACACGCTTTACCCCTCACTCATACACTGCACCCTTCACGCACACCTCTCACACATCCACACAGAACCCCCCCAACACACTGCACCACTCACACACTGGATCATCTATCTACAGAAACTAGATCCCTATATACACTCTGAATCCACTATATACACACACTCACTAGATCTTCTATACATATTTTGGGTCCTTCAAACACACACTAGACCCCTATAAACACACACTACATTCCTGACATACACACTCTGGATCCCCTATACACACACACTAGATTCCTTGTAAGCAAACACATACTACATTCCCTAAACACGCACTCTCTACAACCTTTACAAACACTACATTACCTATACACACACTATAGCTTGTATGTACACACTTACTACATCCCCTATACACACACTCTCTACACTCTCTAGCCACATATGCATTACATTACACCACAAACACAACACTACTAAAACTGACCTTATTGCACAATACCATACCACAACCAGCTCATTCTACACACACGCAATCCCACAAGCAGGCTCTAAATACATGCACAATACTCTTTACTGGCCCTGATACCAGGATCAGTCTCCTGGTATCCCATTTATAGAGACACCAGAGACAAGTTGCAAGGAAACACAGTGCAAGCATGTTATTAAATTTGCTTGCACTGAGCAGAACAAATACAGGGCCTTTTCCTCATGCTAGAGCTCTTCAGGAGAGCTCTGCGCATGGTCTGCCCCGGAAGAGCATTGAACCAACATGCTCACTTTGACAAAACACACCCTTTCTGCCCCGCCCCCTTCTTAGTGGGCCGCTGTGATAAAAAATTGCCCGGACAAATTTTTTTCCCAGTCCGGCCCTGGGTCTAGGTGATTACAGTTTCCCTTTAATTTCTTCTCTTTTCTGTATGCTCTTTCTATGCTGACTGCCAGATTCAAAGGGCAGAACAAAGAATAATGATTGACAGGGAGCTGTATGGAGGCACCCAGTAGCAAGATAAAGAGGCGTTAATTTCTATAGATATTTTTATTATTCACACTTCACAAAATCATATTTGTTAAATATAGAGATAGGTAAACATAATATTAAAAGTCCTGGGAAATGATAGTTTCCCTTTAACAGTGTGAATTTTAGACTTGTGCATTCCTTCTTGGCTGACTTACAATTCGACATCTAAATTCCATAACTCTTAAGCGCCATATGGACCTTTAACCAAACAAACATCTTGCGAAATGGAAGAGAATTGGTGATTTGCAAATTCGGAGTTCTGTCCATGGAGCCAAAAAATAAATAATTGATGGGTAAAAAAGTTGTTTGATTGTTAGGGAACAGTCACTAAACGTTGATTTATAGGTAGATGAAGTGAGAAGTGGCCAACAGAGGGAAAATAAATCTATATTTCTACATTATATATACGTAATAAATATAAAATACATTTTCTTCTTCTGCTTCTCCTCTTTCCCAATATATTTATTACTTTATCTAAACTTGATCTGTGAGCCAAATGGCAGGTAAATGCACCTATCAATGAACTGCAAAATATATACATAATATTTCTATTATGTATATATTTTTCAGTACACTGGCCCATGTTTACACCCTTTGAGTTTCCCCATATCGTTCCCCCAAATGTTTTGCATGGACAATATTTGCTTGAGCTAAACCACCACATGGACAACTTTCATACTACCTAAGTTTAAAAAAGTTTTGGACAAAATGATCCGGCAGCGCCAAATTTTTCCGGCATTCACAAGTCTAGTGAATTTACATTATGGTGTATGTGAATAAAAGATAAGGGAGTGACACACTGTTTCCTTGATTTATAGAGTACTGCCCTTCTGCTTATGCCAATAATATTTAATTAAAATTGAAAATGTTTTGGATGGTAGCAGGCATTCTTCATTGGGGATCAGCAATGCAATCAATAGAACCAGGTTCCGAAATACCATTTGGTATTTTGTTTGCTTCACACTGGGCACGGGAGGTCTTTTTTCACCTTCACTTTGCCAAATTTGAAAGAGAAGATCCTGTAAATCCACAATTTCGGTAGAATCTTTTCTAAGAGAGTGTTTCAATGTAGTTAATTTAATAATGAACCAAGCAAGGATCCATTACTACAATAGCTGTCAGAGAATAGGCTCACCCTATTTCTTGTGCCAGTCTCTGTAAGCCAAAATGTAATATTCTCTATCACAGAAAGGACAGCTGCAACACAGACTCTGGATCGTAAGGGAAGAGGCAGTCGTCTTTTACACTTGCTGAAAAGTAACAGCTGTTTAGTCTTATTTAAGCCCAAAGGAAATTGGTAGCAGTCTTCGAATTCCTCCCCCCAAGCCAAGCACGGTGCTGTATATGTATTATAAAAGCAGGCAAATTTTTATTAACATTAATTAACATATATCGGACAACATCAATAACCAAACCTTAGCTAAGGCTTTGATGTAGGAATGTTCACATGTGCTTTGGTCAATCCATTCCTTCTTATATTTGATTAACATGTCTAGGCCAATAGTAATTGAATTACATATAGGAAACTCTATTATAATATAAACAATATAATACTGACTGGCTTTGTTGGTTTTATTTTACTGTTTTCTTCAGAATTTTTATTTAATCCAAGCCACCACTGCCCGACTCTATACCTTCCAACAGTCCCAGGTCTGGTGGGACCATCCTTATTTCATGGTTCTGCTATGCCGTCCCAGATTAGCATCCTGGTGTTATTATTTAATCATTAACACTAATACCTGATAGAGAGACACACAGACAGACAGATAGTCATGGATATAATGCAGGACTGCCCAAAGCAGTCCTCGACTGACGCAATCTTGGTGCCTATGATGTAAATAGAGGCATGTTTGAACCAGTTAACAACAAAAGAGCACACTCACATATATACAAATGCTCACTCTGGTAATATCGAGGCTACTGTTATCTGGACACACAGTTCCTTCAAGGGAGATATTTGAGAGTGCTGCATTTTTTTCTTTGGCATTATTTAGACAACTTACAATTAATTTTGTATTTTAAGCCAAAAGCTGACCTAGTGTTTATGTTTCCTAATTCGGCTATTGAAGCCTCAAATTTGAAATTAATTCTGAATTTACTTTAATATACCAACAGGCCACACTTCAGTGATAGTCTTGACATATATTCAAATATCTTTGTTTATGATCCATTCTGGTGTTTTCCAAGTTCGCGACAGAAACCTAATTTAGATAGAACTGTGCAAGTTAAAAAAAACAACATATACATACACTTTAGGAAGTCACAGGAACCATAGCATGAAATGCCATGATCACAGTAATAATTAGCAAAACTGTAATTTATTAAGGTAAGGTCTTTACATGGGGAGTCATCTACAGTCTAATGAATTTTCTCAAATGCATTTTCCTCAAGGGAAATGTTAACAGACTTTTCAGCATGTCAGAGGTTAAAAGCCAAGTGAACTGTGTGAACAGCTAATACAGTATTGTCACTTGTCACCTCCTATTAGTAAGGAATGGGGGACAGATGCGTCTTGGCAGGTGGGAGTTATTGCCATCAAAGTCATGCTGATGATTTTTACATTATCTGCATATAAAATGTATCTATCTATCTATCTGTCTATCTATCTGTCTGTCTATCTCTGTTATCTGTCAATGTATTTACTCAGCATTAGCCTAGGGAATTGGTTTTGTTGTCAAGATTAAATCAATAGACACATAAATGGGAGTTTATTAACAATGCATGTGTAGGACCAAATGGCAATGTCTCCCTTAAAATCAATCAATCTGAAAATCTAAAATGTAGTTAATATGGTGTATCAATGTGATTAATGCAGTGGTAAAATCCTGTGTCTTTTCTTTAGAACTGTTTTCCTATGCACGTTAGAAATTCCTCCTCACTACAATATGAACACGGCTTATTCAAACATTCGATAAATGGACCAGGCAATGTTTAGACATGATAGATTTCTTTGTTAAGCCTTGACAAAACACAGCAAGGTTTAATGTTGCTAGGCGCACTCGATGTTTGCCTTAACAATGTTCATCTAGAAGATGTGTTCATGAGTTTTCAACTCATTACGGTTTAAATATAAGTTTCTTAGGAAAAGAAAATATTTCAAATAAATAATATATAGAAAAAAAACAAGAAATGGGTGATACAGATTACTAATGGCATGGCATAGATCAGCGGATTATAATATTGTTCTGCACCTGATAACCACAAAATCTGGAAATTCATAAAACTTTAACAATCATATATAAATTGTGTCATCCTTTTTTAGGTGATGCCCCTTTTTCTTTTAAATGTATATTAACGATTTAACTGCTGATCTCATAAGCCAGTTCAGCCCTGGCCATTTTCTCTCAATGCTGACTATCATGTGCAAAGGATGGCACTTATATATGGGACTTATATACAGGATAACTAAACATAATATTACAAATATCACTGAAAGTAATGCCTCTCATATAAATAATTAATATTAAAAAATATTAAAATCAATGAAGACGTAGAGGTTCAATGTTGATATCTTGCATGGATGGATGGACACAGGTAGACAGAGCTATATGAATGAATGGATACATGGATTAATTTATCTCTTCCTACACTTTTCTATTAGGAAATTAAATAGGACCAAGTACTCAGAACAGGACGCTATCATAAAATGCCCCCTCCCAAATAAAATGCCGCCCTACCCCCATATGATTAACAATATGGAGACCTTTGGCGGTAGTCTAGGGCCAGTGAGTTACACAAGGGTCCCAGAACAATGAGTTTTCTTGGCCTTATTCACCATATGTATGATGAAGAGAATGGAGGTGGAGCCCAAACTAGTAATTTGCCTTGTGAAAACGTAATCCTCCTGCATATGTTAAATCAACTTTATGTTTAAAAAAAAAAAAAAAAAAAGCAAAGCAGCTTATTATAAGACTAGTCTGATTCCCTTGAAGGCACTTTCAGTATTCCTGAGTGTAGTCTTCTTAGCAATGTTAACACACGATTTACTGTCATAAGAAAGGATTGTCATCCCGTAATTCATCTAATTCCTTTCTCACAGTAGATGCAATGTAACAGCTAAGTATTATTGTTGCTTTGATAAGGCAGGGGGACATTACACATTTTTATGTATTCTGTATCCATCCTAGTAGTGAGAGAACAATGGCTTCGAAAAGCTGGCTAATCTTATAGGCTTTATAGGAATTAGACAGGATTACATTTAGTGGGTATTTTACTGTATCCATGATATGTATGCAATATCCATTAATGTTAAAGGATATTAAATGCAAGCTAATGATATTTTACATGTGCACAAACTATGACTGCACAAATATACATATATATATATGGATATATATATATATAATTCTAGAGAATTGCAGCTGTTTTTCCTTTGATAAGTCTGAGCCTTTTGCTTTTCTTTAAAACTGTGCACAGTAATGTAGAATGTTAATTAATGGATTTTGTGTTTAATTTAAATTAAAACCTCTGTTTGAATTGCACTCATTTTAGTTTGTTTGTGAGGGGACCAGGGTTTGAGGTAGGGGCGTGACTTAACATGGCTGTATTTCCAGCTATCCTACAAACTAAACACATAATGAGTATATGCATCTGTCAGGAATATATTCACTTAACTGGGAATATATACCCCCAAAATGGTCAAATAGGAAAAATAGCTGAGCCGTAGATTTTTTTTGGTAGTCTGACATTTTGGAGTATAGGGAATAACTTTGTATAGGATGCACAAAAAGAGCAACTACATTCTGTGATATGCCCATAAAGCCAGATTGTCTGTAATTATCTCAGAGAACCAGCATACAGTAGAAATATCCCAGGATCACTTGAAACAGTATCCATTTAATGGCAGACCAACCAGAACCAGAAGAGTTGGGAGGTATGCCAATACATGATTGTCCTGCATCTTTAAAGCATGATCTCTCTAACAATGAACACATGTTTTGACATTTCTTTCAACAAAACTTTATTGTGTTGACAGTGTGGAATACAGAAATATAATAAATAAACCACTCTCCTGTCAAAAGCACCAGTTGTACATTAGTTTACTGGAGCTTCTAACAGTGAATGATGCAGTGTTCTTTGGAAAACAGGCCCATAACGTCAGGCAAATAAGGAAGAGAGAGACTTTGTAGCCACCAGCTATTCAAAGGATGGTTTTATTGCAATGCTGAGGCTTGTTACAATGCTCCGTGGCAAGTTACACAGATTTTCTTGATAGATTTTTTTTCCGCCAGCTTTGCTGGGGTGACATGTCCTGTAAGATCTTTCTTCAGATAACAGCAGGGTTTGTAGAAGAAAATGCCAAAATCCCGATGGTGTAAAATAAAAAAAAATTGTATTATACAATACAGTCCCGTAAAATTGTTGAAAACCAGTTACTGGTCTTTGTACGGTTTTAATGCCTCCAGGTCTTCTGAGACATACTGCAGATATTGCTAGAGATGGGGAAAAAAATAAAAATAAATATTACTACCAGAGAAAAAAAGTTTTACATAACTAATAAAAAAAATTCTGAATGTTTGATTGAAATTATATAAATATATTAGAGGAAATAAGATAAAAATATTAACTCAAAAAATATATATCTTTGCAGCCATTTTATCAAAGTTTCCCTGACCCTGACTAGTCAATTGTTGATGTTTTTACCTCCTATGAGCCTCAGTCAGTAATCAGCATAATGGGAGTGATATTAGGCTAAGACCTGTAAGTTGTTTAAATCTGATTCTATCCAGACTCTCCAGTATTTAACTGTTTGCATTCTAGAGGGGTACTGTAAATAACTAATGGCATGGCATGGAACTCACAGGGTTTATAAACTGATCATAGAATTGCATGGAGAATGCCTTTCTTCAGATTGTTTACCTTCCCTTTTTATGTATGAAAATTATAATACGGTAACTAATTCCCCCTCAAATCCTATAGACTGTAAGCTTCTTTGAGCAGGGTCCTCTTCAACCTATCATTCCTGTAAGTTTTCTTGCAATTGTCCTATTTATAGGTAAATCCCCCTCCCCCGCTACAGAATCTGTTGGCGCTATATAAAGGGAAATAATATTAACAATAATAATAAATCTCATCATAAAAAAAGTAGCTCTTACCTTGGGAGTTCTAAACAGACATGATGTGCTTCACAAAGGCTGTGAAATGAAAGAGAACATTTGAAATCCTGTTTCATAATTGTAGATTGTTCAGTTAAAATATCTTATCATATATCTTAAGGAATATTTATTAAAGTATAAGAGAAACATAAGTATGAGGTTCGGGGTAATTAGTGGTGAAATTAGGCTGGGTGCATTAGGTACGAAGGGAATTGGTCTCAAGGAGCATGAACATTCTATTATTATTTATAATGTGTATTTATGTTGACTCAATCAAATTATTTCTTATATTATCAGATGTTCATATACCTCTGTTCTCTACAGCTAGTTATTTGAACATTTTAACAGAGGAGACTTTTATTAAAAATGTTGTTTGAGGGTCTCATGGCCATTCTTCCCATCATTAAACTATACAAGCGAGTACTTAAAACGTTACCTTCATAGTTGATGCAGCCATTGGAGTCTTCCTGACCTGCTAGAAGGGCTTCTACTTCCTCCTCCCTCATCTTCTCACCTGTTACAAACAAATGTATGTATTCGTGAGATTTGGTGTTGAGGTATGTTGTTAAATTGTCCATAACAATCATTATTTTGGAAACAATCATTTAGTCAAAACAGATTTACATACCCAATGTGGCCAGTACGTGACGAAGCTCAGCTCCCATGACTGTGCCATTTCCTTCCTTGTCAAAGACACGGAGACCTTCAACAAAGTCCTCATAGCTGCCCTGGTCCTTGTTGTTAGCAACGGCCTGGAGCATGGGCAGGAACTGGTCAAACTCGATCTTCTTGGCATTCATCTCTGGGGAGAAAAAGGTAAGTGCTATTCAATCTGGGGAGAGAGCTACTCATAAACTTACTGATATATCACAGAGACACCCACTCACTGCTACACAAACTGTTCCTTACCTCCAATAAGTATTTCACTTTGCTAGTGGATTTTCTGAACATTTCAATGGACACATACCTACACTATTACATCCATCACTCTAATAAGAATTACCTAAACTACTCTATTGATGTGCTTCATGACTGCTGCTCCATCATTGCTATTAGCGGTGGTGTCGTGCTTCTAGCCTCCCCCCCCCCCACCCACTGACTTGTTGGGGTTTGCCCACTTAAACCCATGAGACACCATGCAATGATCAAAACCAGCTGCATCGCCACAGTTTCTTCAAACACATACATATCAGTATTCCTTCAATGGAGTTGTTTTTTTCTGCCCCTATGGAACAGCCTTTACTAGTCCATAAGGGCCAGTGAAGTGGTTGGACTAATACTATTGAGTATCAAACATTAATAGCCTATTCGTGTTTGATACTCAAAAGCATTAGTCCAGCCACTCCACTTTTGTACTAATGGACTCCTAATACTGGCTTACTACGTACTATTGCTGTGGCATATTTATGTTCAAAGCTACAAGTTAGCATGTGAGCTTAGATATTGTGAAGAAAGGCTGGAATGCTAAAACTGAGCATTTTATGATGGCTTTGTTCTTCAGCCTCATCCATACTCACCCTCTGCTGAGGGATTTCCCAAGACTTTCTTGACCTCAGCATTTGTGGGGTTCTGTCCGAGAGCTCTCATGACATCAGCGACTTGGCTGAGGGTGATCTTGCTCTCTCCAGTCCTGTCAAAGAGCAGGAAAGCCTCTTTGAAGTCTGTTGAGAGAAAGAGAGAGAAAATTAATGAGTGATAAACCGGATTTTAATGTGCTGCTATTGAACATTTAGTAAAAATGTTCACTTCAGACTAACGATCATCAAATGACAATATTACAGTACATTTTGAATGAATTGTATTTTTATGCTAAAGATAAAAATGGTACGTACATGGTGCAAAGAAAATAATGATCTTTAGCATTATTGACTATATACCTGGAGTTTCTCTGTGTATATTGTTACATTCAATGGTATTATTATCCATTTCTCTGCACTTCTAATGGATGGCACCAAACACGTAACAATAAGCTAATTATCAGCACGAGACTCGTGGACTTTACTAATTTAAACTGGGTCTGCTCACATTTACTTTCCTTCTGTATGGAACTGGACCTGGATTCTTTTGTTAGGTTATATTTCTAGGTTATATCTGTACATATTTTTTCTTTCTAAATGCATATGATTATTCTGTGTCCTTGCACTTAAAGACAAACTGACTGTTCTTTTTGTTTAATTCACTGCATTAACCCCTTAAGGACCAAACTTCTGGAATAAAAGGGAATCATGACATGTCACACATGGCATGTGTCCTTAAGGGGTTAAACTACACCAGTTAATATGGTGATAGTTTAAAGGGGGAGATTTAGTGGTTTATTTATTACATACCCAACTGTAGCTAACTTAAAAACAATTAGCAAAATTTAAGCTAAAAATCAGTGGTGGATGGTGCAGGGCTGCGGTGACCTTAATGAGGTTATATTATATTAATATAACAAACATTTTAAATGAAAAAGGGGATTACACAAACTAAAAATTGGAAAATCACTTCTAGCAGCGAAGGAGGGATTTTGTGTGTGTTCAGCTCATTTTAAAAATGGATACTTGAAACGAGGTTATTTTGAGCAGCAGAGAGGTTTCTAAATCAGGCCAGAGATGGTTTTACAAGCAGACAGTAAAAAGGTACTAATGATAGACAGGAGTCACAGCTGTAACAGGATATACCAAGCCTCATTGCGTATGTGAGATAACCCTTTTATTGCCAGAAAGCATGGTAATTAGCATGTTTCAGATCGCACCTGTCACTATAGAACTCTTACAGTGTCAGCATGAGCCTTCACAAGTACAAAATGATCAGCGAACTGCTGCACCTGGCAGCTTTATACTCAAACAGATCTAATATTACTGAAACGCAATGCCATTTAGCATTGTTGCTCTGCACTGACTGGGAGGCCTATGAACACATGGAAATAGAGATACCTTTAAATTAAATGTGCTTCTCCACAACACAAGTTTCTGTTACGTTTTTAGAACTATAGAGTTTACTACCAGGTAGAGAACATGGGTATTTAACTTTTCACATGCAAACATTTCCCATCATTCTTAGAAAGTCTAAAATATGCCCTCATTTATTGGTGACCCATAGATCAGGTATATAAAACTCTGGCCCCCATATATTGCTGAACTTTGATAACTATCTTGCCATCTACTGCATGCAGATAATTCTGGGAGTTGTAGGCCATCAGCATCTGTGGAGCCAAAGTTTGAGATTCTTGATCTAAATGAAGTCATGGCCCATGCTTTAGGACTAACTATCATCGATTCTCAGGAAACAAGGTTTTAAAAAAAGAAATACATACAATAAAATAAAAAAAGACCTGCAAGGTAACGGATTTTAGCCATAACAAGCTTAAAACACGAATTCTCTTAATGTAGCATAATGTCTACAAAGGTGCCATCTATGGACACATCAGCACTTCTACAGTGATTTATCAGATGATTTTGTTTTGGAACTTTAGGATAAGAGTGAAGTTTTAATTTAAAAGAGGTACTTGTTCACTAAACAGTGGGCTGAGGTGAGCCGATAACAGAATTGCAAAATTAAGGCCAAAATAGAAATTCTCAGTATGGAATTGTATCCAACAAGTCATCACAGCACTGTTTAGTAAATAAAGACCAAAATTGGGTTATCACTAAAGTTAAAATTCCTATTACACTATAACATTTTCTCAAATATTAATCTCAAAATCTCTTTTTACAAGACCCCTTTTAGTCTTCAGTAGCCTGCCCCAACCCCCCTTCCCCCCACACCTTTTGTAAATTACAATAATGTGTTCCTTTTAACTCCTATAAGGTAAAGGAAAAAAAGCCCAAATAATACCAGTTTTCAATATATATATATATATATATATATATATATATATATATATATAATACAATGTTATCTTGCTGTTTTAAAAAAGCCTATAGATTTCAACTTGCTTGGATAATTCTGCCTGTGGAAGTGTTACGTATGAGGGGAATTCTATTCTGTAAAATGATTATCATGATTTGATTTACCAACTATTTTTCAAAAGGAAACTGCACGTGGTATTTTTAAAATAGTATGAGCGCCAGAATTAACTCCTCATAAGTAACACAGATTATCAGAATTACAGGATTTTCTCTAATTTAATGCATTTTCCTGCTTAAAATGTTACCAATCTGAGGCAAAATCCCAATATGAACTCAACAGGCCGATCACTTCACATTTTAAAGTACAAAAAAACTTGAACGATGTGTTCCTCCTGACTTAAGTTTAAAACTTACCATCCCGTTGATCTTGAGAAAACTCGATCTGTTAAAAATACAATCAGCCACAAAAAATACTATTATCATTTAGGTCCTGTTTGATTTTCAGACTCAAAACTATCTGGAGCTCAGAATGAAAACCCATGCAATGATGAGTGACAAGCTCACAGGAAGCTGAAAGCCAAACAAGGCTGTCGAGGAAGAAAATGCCAGATAGGTCCATTCCTATCAATGGACCTGAATTGACCTGAATTTTTATTGAGGTCAAGAAAACTGTCCTGATGGACATAAACCCACAAGTCTTAAAAAGGCAATAAGGCATTGGTACTTCACTCCCAGCTGAGCCAGGCTCACAAGTAGTTCACTTACCAGCCACCTCATCAGCAGAGAAAGACTGCAAAAAGGAGAGAGAGAGAGAGAGGAACTAGCATGGTTGCAAATGCATTGACAGACAAAACATCACTTAAACATGGGAATAGTTAAACTATATGTCTAGCTATTAGAACATGGCATCTACCCTGCTTTGGAGCCTTCTCTATTACTAATTCAATACTAAATAGATTGTAGTATTATTTTGCAAAAACTCAGGAATCTAATCACAATCCATTGAGTTGTGGTGACCTGACAGCCAATTTGCTAAAGGAATTTTGAGTTCAGCAGATTTGACCAACTGGCCTCAATGGTGTCATGTGGCAGTCAACAACTGACCAAGGTTTCCCATGAACAGTTGTAGAAACAGCTATATAAACATTTAAGTCTTATTTTAGCCCCCTATCTGTGCAATACTCAGAAACCATATGGTCAATATAAAGATATCTTATTATAAAATTAATTGCTTATTCAATGGATTAAAAGCTGATTATCATTAAACTGATTACATTAATACATTGCATTATAATACAAAACTGTGTTCCTGAGGGACAAAATAAGGCAAAAAACTGAGGCAAAAAATAAATCAAGTGCTCTAAAATCCTTTCATTTCCATCAGCTATAGGTGTCAATCTTTTTATCTCACCTAAATGTATATTTGATATACCCAATATTAAAAAGAACACATTGTACATAATTTAACTACTTCCAATAATTATACTTTTTAATTCAAATGCTTCTTCCATAGAAAACATACTAGTTATGATCAAGGAGTGCTGTATCACTAATATTGGGGTCTGTTGATTACAAATTCTCTCCCATGGTAAAGAAGCCAAATGCTTGTCCTGTACCCTATTAACTGCATTATTGTAAATGGGAGCTACTGCATAAGTCAAGAAGGGGTCTCACAAAAGTAAAATGTTATTACACCCACCATGTTGAAGTTGGAATTTGGAGATGTGCAGAGAGCAGAGGACTTGTCCTGGGATGACTAGAGCTTGTGGTCCTCCTGCTCTGGCCTGCTCCTCTTATTTAACCAAGGGGCAGGGGCATGACTGTCCAGATCAGATGTCAGGGGGAGGTAATCCCTCCCCCTGGCGAGTTTTTGGCTTTCTTAGGGCAAAGGGATCTCTTTCCAGTGCCACAAATTTGGAGAGCTATTTTTAGCAGGATGTGAGTTTGACAGGCTTTAATGAGTTTTAAAGTTGTCAGCAGTTTTTACCCCTTGAAGGAAGACTCTAGCAATAGCTGGGGCTGCCAAATTTGGGACCTTCTTTTTGGGGGGTCTATTCAACCCTCCTCTCCCTTCTTTACAGCACGTTACAGAAAGCTAAAAATAAAGGCCCTCTCTGGGTTTTATTATAGGTCACACTTTATTTCTGCTTTAATTAATAAACATAAAAATGACTAATATTTTGGCTCAATTGTCAGTACTATGACATCTTATGCTTACTGACAGTACTATATGTCCTGTTATCCTTATTAATTTTAAATTAACCTTTTCATAATGGCATTTAACATTTCATATATTTTAGATTAAATCAAAAGATGGTGCTATGCATAAATTGCTGTAATGTTACTACACACTAATTTCCTTTATATTGTTACACAGTTTTGCCAATGCTTATATAACAGGGATTATGGATAGAAAGCAATTCAGGATAAATGTGATAAAAATGGGAGCAATCCTATTGAAAAAGGGAGCTCTTTACTAAATGGTGAGATGATAATGTACTGATGGAGTCTAGACCAAAATAGCTCAACTGGACAAATGTTCACTCAGCTACTTTAGAGACTATTTTCAAGCCTGTGTTTCTCTCCTATATGTTGTATGGCAATAGTCAACTCAATTTAGGTAAATGTTTCAAAAATAAACCCCAGATGCATTCTCCTTGAGATTCCATTTCTAGAACGTTGCCTCAGAATTGCCCCTTTAAGTATTGCAGTGAGTTGGTGAGTTGAAGTGATTGACAACAAAATATAGACTAGAATAAGAAGATCGGAGTGTCCCCTAATTCATCTATATAGTTGTTATGTTTTTTTAAAGAAACAAAACCAAACATTCAGCTTCAGAATTTTTTTCACCTTGGCTATTGTGGCCTAAAAAATATCATATTTTCTTTGAATTCCAAACAATTTACATTATAGTGAATAACTCTGTCCGTCAACCATATCGGTTAGATTAGAGTGAATGTTTTCCTTAAAATTTTACATAATGAGTAAAAATAATGGCATTTCTGTTTTTCAAAATTTACTTTATTTCCGACCATAGCAGGAAATTTAAAAAAGTGGGAAATGTAGCATGTTTTGGGATGAGAAGAAAGAATACTGATATTCTCAATTTCTAAATAACTTGACAGCTAGAAAAACCTCCAGTGATATTTTGGCATAACATTAAAATCTATAAGCTTGTTTGAGCAGGGCCTTTTTCACGTCTTCAAATATTCCATTTTTAGAATTTTAAAGCACTCTGCAATATGTTGGCATTCTATAAATGCTAATAATACAAATAATACTAATAATATTTAAATTGTTTCAGTAGTATATTTCCCTGACTATATGCTGAGTGCTTAGTGCCACCTACAGGCCTTTCTGAGTAATGCACTATAACAATTTGTAGGGTTTACTCAGTACAGAGAAAGCCTTTTAGAAAGTGTATTTTAATCTTTCCTTTTTTGTTTTATTCCAAATTGAAGTTGCATAATGAAAGGGGATGGCTTTTAACTTTATAATTTGGAATACAATTCCATATATGCCTTTTGCTTAAAGCAGCGTATTGAGCATCATGGGAAATGTAGTCTTACAATAACTTGAGTAAGAATATTATCTACCTCTGAGCTATGGTATGTGTGTTTGGACATTACAAGTCATTGATCAGAGAGATTCTAATATTGGAAGCAGAAGGATTCCTGGTAATTCATGAGAGCAATACAAATTGTAGTCCACAATAACTGAAAACATTGTTGACTGAGAATTTTTTTAATTCAATATGAATTCCTTACATTCTACACTTTAGTGAATATGTCTGCCAGATTTAATGACTCAATTTTTTTGCTCTGACTATCCTTCTATGCAGACATAGGCAACCTTCGGCACTCCAGACGTTTTGGACCACACCTTCCATGATGCTTTGCAGCCTTATGGGTGTAAGAGCATTATGGGGGATGTAGTCCATAACATCTGGAGTGCCGAAGGTTGCCTACCCCTGTTCTATAGTATACAATTCAGTTACTACTACAATATAAAGTGGGTGAATACGTTAATCCCAGTACAGACTTGCATAATGTTTGGTTTAGGCCTTTCTTAACCCTTTCACAATGTGCAGATTATGTATAAGAGCAAAGAATCCTAGGACAAAGTTCCAGACATTATTAAAACCTCAGGAAGGTTCCAGGTGGGCGCTTTATTTTTTAATTTGCCCCAGATACTTAACCCTAGGCTGTAGGTAGGAGCTCCTAACTAGTTAAATAATTGGAGGAGAGAGGGTTCTTCTTCAATATTTATCCCCTTAAGGACCAAACTTCTGGACTAAAAGGGAATCATGACATGTCACACATGTCATGTGTCCTTAAGGGGTTAAAAAACATAACTAGTGTGAATAATGGTCATAATCAAGAGTAGTGTAAACTCCTATCATTCTAAGTCTACCAGAGGTGAGTGGCCAATTGCAGGTGAGAATTTTGATGTTTGTGTTGTATATAGTGTCACACCTAGAACAACCCACTTAATCCTATGCTGCTGCTATCTCCTCTGTGAATGCTCTGATATGTAGCATCATTCTGCAAATAATAGAGCCTGTGAATGGGAGATACACATGTCATAGTTCTGTCTGTCAATGCATTGTCCATTGAAAGTAGATACTTCCCTTGATCCCAAGATTGCAGTATTCCATCCGCCAATGAGTGCCTGGCAAGTAAAAATATTAGCAACATAAAGGCAGATTGCATGCTGTTCACAAGAGGTTACTCACACAACTCCAAATTGATGTGAATTGATATCCAAGTTGAATAATTTAGACAAAATAATTAATCTGGAAAAATTCTGTGACTCAGCCATATTAAAAATTTGGCCATTTTAGTTTAAAGTTTACGATTCAGATTCAATTTGTTACTTTTTAGAGTTGAATGAATTACCCTGATAGTCACATGTAGACAGGTACAAAGCATGCTCACACATAACCACGCCAAAAAACATCTCGAATGATTATATAGTGTGTACCTTATGAGTATGTGTGTGTTTGTACATATATATCTCATTTTCAGAAAGCTCGGGTTGGTTCACAAAGTGTCGCACAGCCCTCTGGCACTCAGAAGTGTAAGTGCTTATACAAATGTATCCTTTTGCCAGTGAGGACAATTAGCAAGGATGTACCTCGATCCAGGCATAGTGTCACATACATTGTAAGCCCAGGGCAAGCCTTTTATATCTCTTGGAATTTGGCACTGCGGGCACAACACATGCAGTTTCAAGAATCACAATATAAACATTATCTTAGTTCTGTTATGCAATAGAACTGGCACTTGTACCATTCCTTATTGCCATGTCTGTGTCGGATCCAGAGATCTATTTGAGGGACACAGATTGCAGAACCGTCCTATACTAGGGGCAGGGATCTGATTGGGCTGCTACTAAATGGAAAAAAGATGAAAAATTGTGGTTTCCTGACACATTCTGACCTATATTAGGTTGAGGAATGTATTTTGGAAGGACTGAACAGTTGGTGGTATTCATTAAAGTGAATTCTTGGGAATTCAATGTGAATTTCAAATTTAAGGTCCAATTTGGCTATTATGGTCTAATATTTGAAATTCACTTTAAATTTCAAACAATTTACACTTTAGTAAATAACATTGTAGGTAGTAGCGGGCCTTAAAAAAATATACTCAGGTGCTATTTCCAATGCATGTATTTATGAAAACACAATTTATTAGTGAATCACAAATTTGTAGTTAATTAAAAAACAAATTGCAACATTTAGGGCAAATGAGCTGATTAGGAGAAATCCTCTAACTCACAGTTTGATCATTTTGCAATTTGGCTTCACGTTTTATACAATGCTATGGTTAATGAATAAACACCAATATTCACATTTCCTTTTTCATTTTTAGAATTACACAAGTAGCACTGGAAAACCTTTGCCACTCCATTATTTCCCAACTAAATTGCGTATATCAGCTGCCATATCAGCACTTTCCCTATGTTGCCTGGTAATCTGTGTAAGTAATATGAGTCCTGGGAAACATGGCAGTTATGACATCCCTATATTAACTACATGTTATGATATAATGCTCTAAGGGGCTTAATTTGTCTTTGTGTTGACCACTGGTCCTTTTTGTATTGCTTATTGTTGCACCTGGTGGATGTCTTAAATTCCTGGCATAAATGGGCCTGCTGACAATTTGGAAGAACACTGGTATACAGATCATGTAACAAGGTTATTCACAAAAGTGAGAACTTAAGTTGAATTCAACATGAATTTAAAATGTAAGTACTAAATAGTAGAACTGGAAAAATTGTCTAAATCAGCTTTGCATTAATTTTGGCTATTCTGGCCTTAAATTTGAAATTCTCTTTGAATTATCACACTAATATAGTGAATCACCATGTAAGATTAGTTCGTCCAACAGAATTGTTACTGCAGGAAAGAACCAGTAGGTGGCACTCTCTGCATGTACCTGCAAATTTTGATCCTCTGAAATTTGGGACACACTGCTTGGGTGTGTGTCATTATTTTATTCTTTCGGTTTATTTCAGGTAAATAAATACATACCATAAAATTATAAAACTTGGAACCCCTACCTTGCATTTATTTATTTTTGTGAGTTGTTTTACTACCAGTAGGATTATTTACTAGACGGTGAGCTTAGATGAGTTGAAGAAATAATTATTATAAATTAATTAGGAAAAAATAACAGAATTGAGGGGGGAAAAAAATCATCTAGGCTATTTACAACAGTCACTACAAATCACGTTTTAGTGAACAGACACCTGGACTAAGACAGCCAGTCAGATGGTCTTTCCAAAAAACAGTTAAGAAGACTTGTAGGATCCAAGCTCAATAGCTAAGATTGAAAAAGTCCCAAATGTAACTAAATGGTTTTCTTCCCCCCCTAAATCAATATTTTTGGGAGAGACTGGCCCATGTGAAGTGTAAACAGGAATTAAATCACGGTGTATCTGTGTAAGCATTTTGATGTGTGCTGATTGTAATTGTATGAGACTCTAGCTGACTGAAACATTACATTTCAAACAATCTTTAATGAACACATTTTATGCCAATCAAAATAATAACACATTAGTGACACACAAAACCAGAAAAAGCCTGCTCCAATGTATATGAATAAAATAAAATCATACCAAGCTCCCCACATTATTTAACTGATCACAGATACAATGCTGAGTCCTCACAATCTTTAGACTTTAAAAGGAGATACTTTAACGTTTCTTACAGTCTCTTTATAAAGCGTTAAAGCACTGAATGGTTTTATATTGAAATAGCAGTTAGTGTGACTGATATGAATAGAAAGTAGGTACCAAGTAACTGTAACAACCAATCAAAACATGTAAAACTAAATCTGAGAGCAAAATCAATCATCTCACAAATGTAACTATTTGCATAACTAGAATTTAAATAGGCCGCCTTCACAACTCTTTTAACCCTTCTACCCTGCCGTCTGATGGGTAAAAGGGTTAAAAGACATAAAGGGTTAACTCCAATAAAAGTTGGGGATCAAGGCAGATATTTATGTAGAAGACACAAGAAGGTTTGTTCACTATGAGAAAAGGAGATGAATTCACAAATGGCTTATGACATTTTAAGCATTTTTTTGTCCAAGTCAGTTGTCAATTCATCATAGATCATCGTTCAGTGAATCCACCCCAATCCTCAATTGTCCAGTGAGACCAAATTAGACTAAGCTGCAATCTACTTCAGAACAGTCTCCATTCTATTCTAAGCCAAGGAAGACATCTGAAGCAATCCAGCAAGAGAGGAGCCAACCCCTCAATATTCCATTTTAGGGCATCCCCTCTACTAGTAATGAGGGGCCCATGTTTACAGACCAATCAGAAGGCCAGGGGCGTGGCAGTTTGGGAGATACTTTGTCTGACTGACTAGCCACCTGTCAGTAGAACTCTGCATTGAGTTGTACTGATCACACTATCAGAACTAAAAGGAGCAACCTTTCACTAAACACACAACCTCAAACTGTATTAGTTCACACACAAAAAACAAAAACCCACATAACTCTTGCAAAAGAAAAAGACATGTAGTCACTGGAAAGCAAAGGGATTTAAATGTGTATTGAAAATAAAAAAAAATGTTGCAAAGGTCAATTAGTAAGAGAAGGTTGTTTTAGAAAAGTTTTACATTGCCCAGCACATAAAGTGTAGTATGAAATTGTTACTTTGTTGCAAAATCAAGTTTCCATTTTAAAAATGCCAAATAGTCTGAGATTAAAGTAGACGTTCTAGATCTCTGATTAGGGAAATGTATTCAGAGTAGATTGTGGGCAATATATTAATAAATTGAATACAAGATAAAAGAATCATAGCAGTGTAATAAATGTCATATTCAGCATTGACAATGGATGCTTAAAATGGTAAAATCCAAGCAAAAAAGCATTGCTTTCTGAATATTTATTTTTAAATTCATATTAATAAATTCATATTAATTCCAGTGCTGAAAATATTGACGAGAGGCAGATTTCAGTTTCAAGAATATTCTGATCTGGTTTGAGGGGCATTCATTAAATTATCAGATATTAAACAATCTCAGGATGGCATGAAAACCTTGATGTCCCCTGTCCCCTTTCCATTTATCCCTGGTTTTCCAGTGACCATACAAAGTCAATCCCATTGCAATCCCTATTACCTTGATGCTGGATAAATCAAATGCTGGTTCTTTGGGTTTTACTGGTTCTGGGGCAGGTGCTGGGGCAGGAGCTGCAGCTTTGGGTTCAGCTTTCTTCACATCCTTCTTGGGTGCCATTGTTCTGGTAGATTTAGTTTAATAGAAGGATCCAAAAAAAAAAAACAAGCCCTTTTTCAAGTTTTGAGGGAGGAGGTAAGATCGGTATGATCTTCAGCCCAGAGCTTAGAAGTGTGGGACCCAACGTGTTTTTCACGATTAGGGCATATTTATATTTCACTTCCTACCTAACACAATCTCCACGCATGCTGTTGGATTGGACAGTTCCCCAGGCAAGGAGGATGTCATAAGCCAACTAAGACTATAAATGGAATATAAGGGGGGGTTAGAGCTACATCAAGCCATAAGACCTTGTATTTTTTTTTTTAACCTCCCAGGATTTTTGGGATAAGTGTAAAGGACAAACACAAGGGATAAAAAAGACCTGCAGTGCTCCCGTTGACACTTTGTTAAGCCAGAAACATTGTGAACCTTTTTTTTTTTTCCTTTCTGGAATTTTGGTATTTTCCAAGTCCATAAATCAATGGTCCCCCCACCCCCTCCCTCCTCCCCAACACACATTACAAGAACTCTTAATGGATGATTTTGGAACAAAAATATGTTGTTGGATTACACACAGTATTTTTTAATGGTGTTCCCCATGTACTCACAATCCCCCATATTTCACATAGTCTTCTTTATAACCCCCTCCCCCTATCTCTTCCTCTTATTGGAAGAAATTTGTTGATCAAGCAGAGAGTTTAAAAATAAAGGCAGTCGTATATGGCAAGTCGTCCTTGTCACCTGCTCTCCTTTCACAGAGAATGTACTGTAGGCACATGTCCCCATCCTATCGGACGCCTGCCTTTGTGTATTAATTACATTTGGAAAGGGAGTACCATGTGTTTAACTCGGTGATCCCCTTAAAATTCACAATGCAGGTCCTTAAGGAGGAGAACAATCTCAAGCTACAGGAAATTACTATATAGCATTCATCCTGCAACAGGTCATATCCGTATGATCAAAGAGATCAGGAACATGGGCAGATCTGTATGTTTGTATATGTGTGTGTATGTGTGTGTGTGTGTGTGTGTATATATATATATATATATATATACATATATACTCATACAAATTGCACATTGCATGTGTGTGTGTATACTTAACTGTATGTCCAATTATGTGTGTATATTTTTGTGTGTGTGTTTATTGTATTGGTGTATTCTACATAGTGACACATTGTATCGTGAGTGTTTGGTTTTTTTTTTTCTCATGAACTATAATATTATAATGTTTTGGATGCCCTTGGTGAGGTATGGAATGTAGCAGGAAGCTATGTGTTGATTCCTTCAGCATTCGATCACTAGAATATTCCAATTATTATTATGTGCTACACTAAGGAGTTTATTCACAGCGAGTTGGAGTAAGTGGATGAGCTGATAATTGACTTGTCATATGTCAGTTATAAATGAAGAGTTGGAAGAATTCTCCAGGTCAGATAAGCTGAACCTTTTCCCCCATCTAGGCTAATTTAGTCCAAATGCTGATGAGCTCTCCACAAGTCGCTGTTGAATGAGTGTCCCCCATGGTAAAGTCAAAGTAGCAGACTAGGTGCAGTGAATGTGAATTGAAGTCCCCATGTGATCTCATGTGAGGTTTAAAGACCCATTCTGTGTGTATTTCCAGCCAAACCCAGATTCTCTGCTTGACCATCAATCCCTCTCTGTGTCTAAGTGAAAGTTCTCAGCTTCCTTCCTCCAGGATGGAGTATTTTCTGGTGACTTTGGGGCAAAATCTGACACTTAAATAGGGCTGCAGAGTCCAGCTGTTTCCAACTTATATGTCCAGAGTAATCACAGCCATAATTCATGTCCTTGTAAATCCGTGGTGGGAAAGGTTTTATATTTAGAAAACACTGTTGGCATCTTAACACCAACACCTCTTTTCTAAACCTCATAAACCCTGCACTTTACTTCCATAACTGCAGGCAGGGATGGGGGTTAACTGCTAGCTAGTGTCACTGCACATATTTTAACTCATTGAGTCCCTGAGGGGTCACACATTCACACACTTCAACAAACCAGGCAAAGAGGAATGCTATACTAATTTTATTGGATTATTCACACAAATAAAATACAATATTCCAAAAAAAAAAAAAAAAGAGAGAGGTTGAGACAGAATAGAAAATGGGTGGCAGCAAGCGAGACAGTGGGCAGACAAAGAGAGTGGTTTCTATATGGAGCAAGGGTTGGAAAACAGAGAGCAGAGTGACAGTGAGAATTAGGTAGACAGCAATACAGAGAATATAAAAGACAGAGAGAGGGATCCAGAGGAATAAACAGACACAGAAAGAGTGATAGGGAGTTAAACATCAGAACATCGAACAGAGAAAGACAGGAAGAAATTAATGAGAAAGAGAAGAATTTATGAAACAGAGGGAAAGGCTGCAAGGATTTGAGTGAGAGGTGATGAGAACTGAATGAAACAGAGAGAGCTAAGGAAGAAGTGAATGTGACAAACAGCTAAGGAGAATAACAGTTTGAATGAAACAGAGAAAAAGACTGGGAGGAGGAGTGACAGAGGGAGAATATTGAGCGAACTGGATGAGACAGGCAGAGAGAGCACAACATAAAGAGAGACAGAGAGAGCATGATATAAAGAGAGAGACAGAGAGCATGATATAAAGAGAGACAGGCAGAGAGAGCACAACATAAAGAGAGACAGGCAGAGAGAGCACAACAAAGAGAGACAGACAGAAAGAGCACAACATAAAGAGAGACAGACAGAAAGAGCATGATATAAAGAGAGACAGGCAAAGAGAGCACAACATAAAGAGAGACAGACAAAGAGATCACAACATAAAGAGAGACAGACAGAAAGAGCATGATATAAAGAGAGACAGGCAAAGAGAGCACAACATAAAGAGAGACAGACAGAGAGAGCATGATATAAAGAGAGACAGGCAGAGACCATAATATAAAGTGAAACAGACAGGGAGAGCATAATATAAAGATACAGACATAAAGTGCATAATAAAAAGAGACAGGCAGAGAGAACACATAAAGAGACAGACAGGAAGAGCATAATATACAGAGAGAGGCAGAAGGAGAATGGTCACATTCTTAGAATACTGATAAACTATGTTGCAGTTAAGATGGATTAGATAAGATATCCAGCCGATCAGTGCAGGAGAAGCCAATACGCCCTTATTGGAGTGGTTAAAGGAAGAGAGAAATCTGAGATCCCTGATTGGACAGAGGAACCCCAGGGCTAGCCTGTCCTACGTTATGATACTAAGAAAATACCGGAAGTGAAAAGAGCCATTGGAAAGCAAGGTCTTGTGCCAGTACTAGTATGGGCAAACAAAGACACATCCTTACTACTGCAAATTAATGTTACACAAGCACAATCCTTCACCTGCAAGCAGGGCAGTAAGAGTTGACACATATTATATAGGATTTTATAATAAGAACATTTAAAATTAGCTACAAAAACATGATTTGTAGGGGTAAGGCAGCTTACAAAGTTATTTACCAAAGTGAGAACTCAAAGTGAATTTCAAATTTAAGGACAGAGTAGCTTAACCCCTTAAGGACCAAACTTCTGGAATAAAAGGGAATCATGACATGTCACACCTCATGTGTCCTTGGGGGGTTAAAGGGACACTGTAGGCACCTAGACCACTTTAGCTCATTGTCACTTAACCCTACAGTGGTAATTATTGCACCTTGAAGGGTTAAGGCATCCTCTAGTGGTTCTTAGATGACTTTTGGCTATGCATGAGGACTTCCAGTGTCACTAGAATCCCCAATGAAAAACATTAATTAATGCTTTCCTATGGGGAGATCCTAATGCGAGTGCAGCCATTACGCATTAGGTCAGCAGGCGGGGGAGGAGCAGGGGCGGAGCCCAACCAACCCCTTCAGTGACGTGGGTTGGGGGGCAGGAGGGAGGCACTATAGCATTCTAAAGTGACAGGAAAACGGTTTGTTTTCCTGGCACTAGAGAATCCCTTTAACTGAAAGCCAAGCTGAGATATAATTTTTCCAGTTTGTCTATCTTGACCTTAAATTTGAAACTCACATACCTCCCAACCATCGCCAGTGACATGATCTGCTCTACTATTAACTCCCATAATGGGGGGGGGGCACACAAGGAACACGGGCGTGTATGCCCACCAAGAGGGCGAATGGCTGGGCCCACACCTTTAGGACCGTGCAAGTTCTAATGATGCGCTCATCCTGTGCTGCACATGCTCAGGGCTCCCACCAGAAATTTTGGGGCCCCTAACTCAGCTCAGGGTCTGGGCCCCCTGGGGCCCGCCTCCAATCCAGCTTACAGGGTCTGCCTCCAAATCCCACCCACAGGAATACACACACAGACACAAATACACACACTGATACAAAAGGGCACAGATACACACACACAGATACATACTAACAGACACACATACTGAAACAGACATACACGCATATAGGCATACATACTGACACATACACACATATACAGACACACAGGCATACATAGTGACAGACAGACACATATGCATGAGGACATACAGACATACATTGATACTGGCATACATACATTTAGACATACATGCATACATACATACATACCGACAGACCTACAGACAGACATTCATACAGACACACACACACACACAAAGCTCATTTTTCAGCCACCCTCCTGTTTCTTACCTTTTCTTTGCAGGATGGTGGCTGGGGCTGGGGCTGAATTTCTCACTGACACACACTCTCATTTACAGACACATATACACTCTCACTGACAAACACACACACAGTCTCACCAGTGGCGGAACTAATGCAGAGAGGGCCCCGGTGCAAGAAACTATTTTGGGCCCCCTCTAGCACACACACAGATACAAACATACCTACAAAAGCACTTACACACACTGGCATGCACACAAACATATAGCCACACACACAGATAAACACACATACACACAGAAACACACACATACATACACACACTGGCACACAGATACAGACACACATACCTACATATACACAGATACACACTAACACTCACAAATACACATACCTACTTATACACACACAGAAAAACACACGGGCACACAGATAAACACAGACACACATACCTGCGCATACACAATGGCGCGCACACATATACACACTAGCATACAAACACTGGTACACACACAGATACACACTGACACACATACAAACATATACCTACACACACAAACAGATACACGTACATACACAGACACACACACATACCTACATACACATACTGGCATACACACACTGGCACACAGATACACATATATACCTAGACATACACACTGGTACACATACATACCTACACATACATACACTGGTACACAGATACACACATACACACTGGGACACACTTACCTACACTGGCACACATACACGCAGAGATACACACTGACACTGACAGATACACACTGGCACACACACACACACTGTCACACATATACACACAGACCCACATACCTATGCACACTGGCACATACACAGACACAGATTCACAATGACACTCACAGATACACACTGGCACTTACAGAAACATAGACAGAGATACACACTGACACTCACAGATAGACACATACTGATACATACACACACACACACACACTGACACTCACAGATCTACACACACAGATACACACTAACATTCACAGATATACACACACTCACACTCACAGATACACAGAGAAGCACACACACAAACACACAAATCGCAATTTACATACCTTTTAATTGCAGGAAGAGCTCAAAGGAAAGCAGTCCCTCGCCTCCTGCCTACAAACTGAGCAGCTGCCCGCCTCGGGTGGGCCCTGAAGTGATCAGTCGGTCAGCTCTTTGGCCCCCCAGGACAAGAGGCTGAAAAGGTATCTGCTGGAGTGGCACTTTCAGGGGGGCGACAAAAAATGGCTAAATACAGCGCTGCTCCAAGCACCATGACCACTTAAGTACATTGTGTCTGTAATTTGTGTGTGCGAACAGTGCGGTGTTACATCTCTGCTGCTGGATGTGTAACTCCACATCTGGCAGTGTCAATCGGGGTTATTATCCAGCCTGGAACAAGAGTTTCATGCTGGCTTATATCAGTTCTGAGCAAAATTGTCTTTTGATGCCAGCAGGCACATCATACTGGCGCCAGACATTAAATGACAGAACGGGCTTTCCTTCTGTGCTGCCCCTATCCTCCTCTGAGCATGATCCTACTCCCTGACATCCCAAACCCTTTTTTGTGAGGGAGAGTGACTTCAATGAAGGAAGATCAGTTGCAGGAAGACATTGACCTTGGCGCAAGAAACTGATGTAAGTTTGGGAGGGTCCTTCATAGGAAGGTTACTCTGACCAAAAAAGTATTTTCTTAAAAAACAGTTTTTTGTTTGGTTGAAGTAACCCTTTAATTACTCCTAAACTTGCAGCACAAGTTACATTGATATACACTGTCATACAGCATTGATGTGGTGACATAACCTATGACACCAAAGTTTTAATGATGACATTTTGCAGATTAAATTTAGATTGTTTTTTTTAAATAAATAAATCTAATTTGTGGGAGTTGAAAAGCCAGCTCAACATATTTCTGAGACATACATGAATTTTGGATATTGTCAAGAAAGGCTTAAAATTACTGCCTATGTGTATTTAGTACTAATGTTCTCCCTATGTAAAAATTAAGATTATTCCAAAAAAAAAAAAAAGATAGGTGAAGTAAAAGCCATACTGCAAAACCATACTGCTAAAACTGCATAAATTCTCCAACTCTCCTGTAGTCACAGTTTGAATCCAATTACTACCAGACAGAATACTAAATTACAAACATGATGTTTCACTAATCTCTGAAATGTAGCAAATTAATATTTGAGGGTATTAGGGTATTAAACAGCAAAGCATTCAATATAGCTTTCAACTTTCAACATTTCAAATGGACAAAGAGGGACACTCATTTTAGGGGTGTAGGTAGGGCGTGGGCAGGGGCGGGGCTGCTCTGAGGAACTTTAGATGACTTATTAATACCAATTAATGCAACCAAAATGTAATTTAGAAAAAGAACGTCTCATTTAAACAAACTGATTTGATATCTAAACACATTTATTGTAGTGTATAGACACATTAGTGTGAGCATTATTACTTTGGAGTTCTGGCATGACCTGTTTCCCATTAGGCAGAGTAGGCACCTGGACACAGGCACATACCTGATGGGGTACCTTCTATGCCTGTTAAAAGCCCTGTCCTTACCACCTACCTGATGTCTGCTGCTTGCTGACTGGAACAGAGAACGCAGATTTCTGGGATCACTGTATTTGCTCTCAGGGAGCCTGATCATAGCCCCCTTAGACTGAACAAAGTGATTTGTGCATGCCCCTGCCCCCTCAGACTGAAAATTAAGTAAGTGATATTCATCAGGAATTTAGAAAAATACTCACAAAAAAAGCAATAAAAAAAAAAAAACCACACCACCACAATTTCTTGTGTTGGAATTATGTTTATTACACCATCCATAACATTTTCACCAGAAATACACACCATAATTATCTATGAATTTACATTTTATTGCACATAATGGATTTGTGCAAATATATGAAATTTTTTAAATAGTAATGTCTGCTTTAAAAAATATTAGCTGGGGGGTGTAGACGGCTGGTCGCATATCAGACTGGCTCTTGCAGGCTTTAACCATTTCAGCAGATAATAAGCAACGAACTCACTCATCTGGTGACTCAAAGTCGATAATTATGGGCTAAGCATATACTGGTACAGATGCAGAACTCGTGTGCTTAAAGGACCACTATAGGCACCCAGGCCACTTCAGCTCAATGAAGTGGTCTGGGTGCCAGGTCCGTCTAGGATTAACCCTTTCTGCTGTAAACATAGCCGTTTCCAAGAAATGGCTATGTTTATATTAGGGTTAATCCAGCCTCTAGTGGCTGTCTCGTTGACAGTCGCTAGAGGTGCTTCCGTGTTTCTCACTGTGATTTTCACAGTGAGAAGACGCCACCCTCCATAGGAAAGCATTGAGAATGCTTTCCTATGGACTGGCTGAATGCGCGTGCGGCTCTTGCCGCACATGCGCGTTCAGCCAGGGACGTCAGAAGAGGGAGGAGAGTCCCAGCGCCGAGGGA